ACGTTGGACCAAAGTGCCCCCAACGTCAATGAACGTTGGGCCAAAGTTGCATTTTATTGTGTGCACATGCGTGGCAGCAGGTGTTTGCTATTGATACTATTTAAATAAACGACGCAAGCACAGGAATTTTCCCCGTCCAACAATCGTAAAATAAATGACACTCACAAGTTGCTCAAGCGCCCAGTAAGCATACACAATTGGTTCCATTTAATCTGAACTTAAAAAAAAATCGTACAAGTTTGGAAAACAATTGGAGCACATTAGAGCATACAGTGAGGGAAAAAAGTATTTGATCCCCTGCAGATTTTGTACGTTTGCCCACTGACAAAGAAATGATCAGTCTATAATTTTAATGGTAGGGTTCTTTGAACAGTGATAGACAGAATAACAACAAAAAAATCCGGAAAAACGCATGTCAAAAATTTTATAAATTGATTTGCATTTTAATGAGGGAAATAAGTATTTGACCCCCTCTCAATCAGAAAGCGGCTCCCAGGTGTCTTTTATACAGGTAACGAGCTGAGATTAGGAGCACACTCTTAAAGGGAGTGCTCCTAATCTCAGCTTGTTACTTGTATAAAAGACACCTGTCCACAGAAGCAACCAATCAGATTCCAAATTCTCCACCATGGCCAAGACCAAAGAGCTCACCAAGGATGTCAGGGACAAGATTGTAGACCTACACAAGGCTGGAATGGGCTACAAGACCATTGTCAAGCAGCTTGGTGAGAAGGTGACAACAGTTGGTGCGATTATTCGCAAATGGAAGAAACACAAAAGAACTGTCAATATCCCTTGGCCTGGGGCTCCATGCAAGATCTCACCCCGTGGAGTTGCAATGATCATGAGAACGGTGAGGAATCAGCCCAGAACTACACGGGAGGATCTTGTCAATGATCTCAAGGCAGCTGGGACCATAGTCACCAAGAAAACAATTGGTAACACACTACGCCGTGAAGGACTGAAATCCTGGAGTGCCCGCAAGGTCCCCCTGCTCAAGAAAGCACATATACATGCCCGTCTGAAGTTTGCCAATGAACATCTGAATGATTCAGAGGATAACTGGGTGAAAGTGTTGTGGTCAGCTGAGACCAATATGGAGCTCTTTGGCATCAACTCAACTCGCCGTGTTTGGAGGAGGAGGAATCCTGCCTATGACCCCAAGAACACCATCACCACCGTCAAACATGGATGTGGAAACATTATGCTTTGGGGGTGTTTTTCTGCTAAGGGGACAGGACAACTTCACCGCATCAAAGGGACGATGGACGGGGCCATGTACCATCAAATCTTGGGTGAGAACCTCCTTCCCTCAGCCAGTGCATTGAAAATGGGTCGTGGATGGGTATTCCAGCATGACAATGACCCAAAAAACTCGACCAAGGCAACAAAGGAGTGGCTCAAGAAGAAGCACATTAAGGTCCTGGAGTGGCCTAGCCAGTCTCCAGACCTTAATCCCATAGAAAATCTGTGGAGGGAGCTGAAGGTTCGAGTTACCAAACGTCAGCCATGAAACCTTAATGACTTGGAGAAGATCTGCAAAGAGGAGTGGGACAAAATCCCTCCTGAGATGTGTGCAAACCTGGTGGCCAACTACAAGAAACGTCTGACCTCTGTGATTGCCAGCAAGAGTTTTGCAGACGGGTGAAATACTTATTTCCCTAATTAAAATGCAAATCAATTTATAACATTTTGGACATTCGTTTTTCTGGATTGTTTTGTTGTTATTCTGTCTCTCACTGTTCAAATAAACCTACCATTAAAATTATAGACTGATCAATTCTTTGTCAGTGGGCAAACGTACAAAATTAGCAGGGGATCAAATACTTTTTTCCCCTCACCTGTATATGTTAAACTTCTTTCGCACCGTACGTAACCAACCCTGCTAATTGGAGGTGTGGATGATGATCAATGTGCCGAATGAAGAAAGTTTCTCATTAGTCCGTACTGTGTGCTGTTACGTACGGATAATAAATATGCACGTGAATGGAGAACAACTGAAAAGTGTGAAAAGAAACAGTGTGAAACATTGAGAACTGCAATTTACCATTTCACCGAGACAACACGTTTTGCTGGAAGGCATCTATAGTCAAAAAATAATAGCGGAGTGGCAGCTAAGGGAAGGAACTTGTCCAAAAGTACGCCTACCACGGAGAATGGAGAGATCCAATCATCTTGTGTGCACGAACTATACATGTATTGTTAAATGGCAGGGCATTGAGATGGCGACGGTTTAGGGGTGGCCTTCATCCAGCAGTGGATTTATCATGACACATGATGATGAAACCAATAGCATTACATTATATTGTATAACATTATAGGCAAGCATTATAATTCATAAAATTACGCAAATTCATATTAAATTACAAAACTTGTAATTACTTCAAAACAAAGTGCATGCAGCAAAACTATCACGTCTATTCATTTAAACTGTCGTGACAACATCCCATGCAAAAATAACAGAGAACCTGACATTACTTTTGTCAGATTAAGTTAACATTATATTTATAATAGAAACAACATATAAAGTGTTGCTATAAATGGGCACATCACAGTGCAGTATATGGCGATGGTCGGATTGACGACACTAATCGCAAGCATGCCAAACAAATATTCGTATCTCAGCGTGATTCCCACGTCATTGTCTGTATCTTGCTTGAACGAGCTTTCCCCAGCTATCCACCTGCGTAGCAAATCACTCATTCAGAGGGCAGGTTATCTAGTTCAAGGTGTCACAGCTTCTGCCTCTGCTCAAAATGCCAGGTATGGATCACACCACACCAAAGATATTATAGGCCGATATTATCACTCGGCAACATCACGAAAATCAGAATATTAATTTATACTGGTCGGAATCCGATGAGTTATAAAGCGATTTTTCACAGATGTCCAGTAGAGGCGGGTCAGAACATTACAATAACAAACTAGTACAAAGTATAGGAAAGGTAAACATATCACTTAAACTATATAGAAATAAAACAAACTATTAATATCTAGCATGTCTCCGGTCGCATCTGATGGCACCAAGAAACATTTGTTCACTTCAATCAGCTTTTTATCGCACTATAGCTATTCCACCAAAACGGCATTTCTTGGGCTGGTCGATGATCTTTACACAACATCATTTCAGTGGCATTAACACAACCATTGGGTACACACGGGACGTCGTCTGGTTTTCACCATCGCTACATACAACACGAGGACTGTCGAGTGAATCAAAATGGGCTGCAGCTGAGGAGAAAAGCTGAACAGGGAATCAGTAAGAATGAAGTATGGAGTATGAGAAATTAAAAAGTACCGTACTTCAGATCGAGTTGCCCAACTTATTTTGAGCCTCAAATTACCCTAAATTGAAGGTAATAAAAGAAAATACATGTGTCTGAAGAGATGACCACATTTCTAAGTGTCAGCAAACACCACTCCATAGTCATGGGAGGCTTCAATACAAAAGGTATGCGAGACGAACGTAGGCAAGAGTTGGGTTGGTAAATTTGGCATTGGAAAGTGGCATAGAGATGCCTACTTTAGTTAACAGCGAGCAGACACAGGACCATAACAAGATCACGGTACTGCCACACAAATGCTAGCGATAGGGCTTTCATCCTGTAGAGCCCCTCTAATAAGCGGGGGAATGATAGTTAAGGTGGGATCACACCATAGAATGAGCATTAAGCACAGATGAATGAGAGATAACTTAACGGGGGATGGTATTTATTCAGGGATTAATAAGGAATTAAAATATGTGGGAGCGAGGGTAGTTGTGAAGGAGGTACAGTGGCGTGGAGAGACTGATCGTGGCAAGGGCCTTACTGCAGGGTGAGTGAGCGATTCACAAAAGATGGAACAAAAAAGTGAATGAGTGTGAATGGATCGAGTGAAGAAGGGATTTTGGGAGAGATGGATGGATGCAAGAGGGAGCCAGAGATATATTGTGGAGTAGAGGTGAATGGCTGTGCATACAAAGTGTGTAGCTGTTGGCTATTGCTGCACGTGTGGGTGTTGTGCCTTTGTCCAGTATCGATCGTGCTACCCCCACACTCATTTTTCGAAATCCACCACTGATTTCATTTAAATGTTTCTGGTGGTGTTTGAAATTTTACTATATACCGACGTTTATTCCATCCATGCACATCGTGGGAATGTCATGCCTTTTGGCACAAGACAGCCAGTCGCACGTAGCGGTGTTGAACCGCATATTGTAGTCACTCGTTTCAATTGTTAAGACTATGCTGTTTATATGAATGACTGCTGTAATGTAAGGTAGATCAAGGTTTATGCCGCTTTGGCATTGGCGGAGTTTGGGGCACGGGGGGGGAAACCCTTCCCCAACTGGACACCCTTCATTAATTAATTTTCCGTAGTTTACAATTAATATTAAAATAAGCTATTAAATAATTAATCATATGCACCCACAATTCCTAATGTATGGAACAAAGCGAACCCCTCCCCCACATATAAAAGTCAAACTCCGCCTATGCGCTTTGTCCATATGTAACGACACGTTCAGACAAATGATGCATCACCGGGCGATTTTGTACTTCTCTGTTGGTGTGAGTCATGTAGGACATTTTATATATCCGTTTTCTTAATTTGGCATACATATATAGCCTAAGAAGGATACAATGTAACGCCCATGTGAGTATCATACAAAGCCCCATAATGTTTTTTTTCCACGACTGTCTTCATTTCCACTCATTTTGTGTTTCTGCACCATGACTGCCGCAGGACCTCTGCAGCATTGAAGTGGTGCGCTCTTTTTTCACAGCAGCGTAAATACCCCTTTAATGTTTTAGCATGTTATACAGCTCAACAAAGACACGAGCAAGGTGAGTCATAGCCTCTTAAATCCAAGGATGTCAAGTAGATGTTTTCACCGATCCTATTCTGTTTCATGATAAGGTTTCTCAATTAATTTGATTAATTTTGCCGGTACTGTCTAACATAAGTTTTCTCACCCAAGAAACGTATTGAATTTAGCGTAAACATAAACACATTCACGGTGAGTATAGTGTACGTTTTATTTTTTTATTCTGTGACATGGAATGTAATTGCGTATTTTGACGGAATAGGCATACAAATGAACGCAACACAGAGGGCAGCGTTCGTACACAAAGTAATGTACATTTTTACATTGTTCGTCTTCAACAAAAAACAGCGTTCGGGAGTAAACATGTAAAACATTCAACAACATATGTTTGAATGTGTTTTAAAAAAATATATACATATCAAGATGTAGTGAGTCCATAAAGAAATATTCACAGGCTGTAAAGTTCACCGCATCGCATTTAAGTAGTAAATAACCAGTGACAGTTCAAATCGCTTCTGGCCAAAAAAAAATGTTTAGTCGCTCTGGATATAAACTTCACATCGAGATTGTATATAACCCATTTATCGCGTCACTGCCGCAAGTGCTGGAGGCTGGGCGCTCTCTCCACAGGCGCGATGGTTTTGTCAGAGTTGCAGGGCAGTTGACAGCTTGCCTTCATGAGCCTGATGTTGCCGAGGTGTTTGCGGATGACTGCTCGGAATTTACTCTTTTGCGTTTTGGGGACTTCGCAGTCCGCGTCCGCAGAGTCTCTCTTGACGGGCTGGGCGGCCTCCTCCTCCTCCACCTGGAGGCACGTGGAGCCGAGGTGCTTCTGGAGTTGACGAGTGTCGATGGGTGTGGAGCGGCTCCTGCAGAGCAGTGCGCCCGGTTTCCTGCGCCCTACGAGCGAAGATAAGGGCAGGAAGGGCCTCCCGTCCTCGAAGAAGAGCGACTCTTTGCGACGGATGTTCGGACTCTCGCCCAGCGCCGGGAATCCGTACGGCGTGGTGATTTTGGCCAAGTGAGGCAGAGACATCGCCGCTCTGGTCGCGGGGTCAGGGTGAGGGTCATTCGCGCTCTGCTTCTCCGAGTAGCTCTCGTAAGAGCTGCAGGTGGCCGTGGAGCTTCGCTTGGACAATCTCTCCCGATACAAAGCCGAGTCGAGGATGTTGAGAGCTTTCCTCGCGGGGTCCACGCTCACAAAGGCCACCGGTTCGGGACTGCTCCTCTCTCCTTGCTGCTGCTGCTGTTGTTTCTGAGTGCAGGACTCGCAGTCCAGTTGTCCATCGTCCTCCGGCTGCAGCTGCTGCTGCTGCTTCAGCGCATCTCTCCAGCGGGTGTTGAGGAACGGTGAGTGGCACGTGTCCAGCGTGGGGATGGTGAACCGAGGGATGCGATCCGGCGTCACCACGATGCTGAAGATGTCCTTGGGCCGCGTTGGCACCATCGTCGGCGGCTCGGGGCCCGCCTCGCTGCACGGCCGCATGGTCACCCAGGTGAGCATGTTATCGAGTTTGCCCCGGAGGGAGAGCTGCGAAACTTGTGACACCATGCCGACTGTGCGCTCGTGTTCGACCTCTGCCTGTGGCGTGGAGCGGAACACGCGCGCGGGGAGGAGGAGGAGCGGCAGCAGTAGAGAGAGAGAGGGAGCGCGCGAGAGAGAAGTGCAAGGAGCACGAGAGCTCGGCTTTTTATAGTCACTCTCGAGTGCGTGTCGGGGGGGGGGGGGGGTGTGGGGGGGGGGGGGTGTTATTGCTCAATGACTGCCAGTGACGTCGGGTGTCATCCCTTCCAATTACGGAACCCCTTTTGCGTCACGGCGCTGCCACTCCAATTTGCTTTGAAAGGGAGGCGTTCCATTCATTAAAGGGAAAGGTTAAATACAAAAAAAGCAAACGCTCGAGATAAATGTAAATGTTTGAACGCGGCTCGTCTCCACTGCTTTATGCGTGTAGGCATACATCGCTTGGGGGTGGGTTTTTTTTTAAATATCTCCTTCGGTATGTTCAATATTGCTGAGGTTATATTTGTAGCGAATGCTTATTTCTAGCCCCTTTTGTTATCAGGTGCTGAATGCAGTCTCTCTCTCTCCACCACGCGGTGTCGGTAACGGTGATTGTTTGACCATACTTCACTGCATTGGTCATTGAGGGTTGGTGATGGGTGTGGGGGGGGGGAAGGTGCTAGGGGTAGGTCCCCCGGAGCTGTTCAGAGATCGCTCGCCACTAATTGTATCCGTTTACGGCTATCGAACCGAGGCAGACAGATTTATAGCACAGTGCGCTAACCACTACGGCAGCGCTCCGCCACGTATGCTTTACACAGCGATATGATATTGCAGTAATGTTTCTTACAGAAAGGTGATTTTCTTTGATGCACTAATACAGAAATTGCTATATTTTTAATAATAAAATGTGCGTATGCATTTTTTTTTTACTTTGAAGCTACCGTACACCAAGGCCGTAGGCATGAAGTCAACATTGGGGGGGGACCAAATATTCCAGGGTATCTGGGGGTCCCAACCCAGAAAAAAAAAATCTATATTTGAAAACTCATTTCCTGTCTAAAATATAAAAAAAAATTCACTAACACATGGGATGGACTTTTTATTTATTTTTGACAATAATGTCTAATAGTGTATTGTATTACATTGCTCTGTTTTTACTTTTTTTACATCTCTTGATTCATTGTATGTAATGGCAGAGATTAGGGATTAATAAAGTACAACCATAACCACAATCATATAAACATAAATCTATGCATTGATTTATATGAAGTCCAGATATTGTGGTCAAGGTTTAGCAAATTGTTGTTTTTATTTCCATAGCATAGCAATTATTTATTTTTATAGCACTATATTAGGGGGGACATTTTGGACATATTTGAATGTATGTATACAATATATATTATAATTACGGCCTTGCCGCACACCCACTGTCAATACATCACAACGGTCGTATGAATCGCTGGTTTATAGGTGTTGAATAAAATAAAAGATAATCACAGCCACGGGCGATGGCATGCGTCAGCCTCCGCGCTTCCGACGCTGTCGCGTTACTGGGTTTGGGGTGGAGTGGCGGAACGGTGGCGCAGTGGTTAGCGCACTGCACACAAACCTGGCAAAAGGCAAACAATCAGTGTGAGCGATATTCAAACCGGTGCTACTTCGACCCCTCCCGCCCGTTTCAACAATCCACACGCACTGAGCGGAGTGGCCAAGTATGGCCAAACTATTATCTTAACAGACACGGCGCTGCAAGCCTTTAATCCAACCGTGGAATTATAAAGTGCTCAAAATAATGTATTATTGTGTAAATAAAGAATTAAAGCTTTCGTGACTGCATAAATTACTCATTTTTTCGGAATTTCTACATACGTGACTTTACCGAAAAAACCAGAGTATTATTGTGTATACTACCAAATGTGGGAAGTTTTAATGTATTATTCCAATAAGTTGAAATTCCTACTTTGTATTTAAGTAGACAATGAAAACCAGTAATGGTAATGACTGTCACTCTATATCAGATAAACCCAGGTCTCTCTGACGCAATAGACTCTCACGCGTTTTAATAAAGGCAAACAGCCCACATACCCACTTAGGTTTAAGGGGTTCATTTTATCCAGAGCTGTCCGAGTCTGAACTCCGGAAAATACCCCTCTTCCCACCTCGGCGGTTTGTGGGCAAAATACGAGAATGTAATTCCTAACGAGGTCGACGTCAATGACACGCTGCTTGTGGGTTTCATCCACTCGGCAGTTACGCGCTGCGCGAGCTGCCGACTTAATTGCTGCCCCCGCCCCCCCAGGTCACACTAATTACAGGCGACATCAACGCGGTTGCTCCGGCACACAGCGCGTTCTCCAACCTGGTCTGACGCAGCAACAAGTGGGTGGCGAGTCACGTTGCAAAAGACACGTGCTGTTAAAAAATATATATATAAGGCGTTGGGTTGGTGCACATCGATAACGAATATATAATTTCGGTGTAACAAAAAAAATACATGGTTAGTCAGTTTAATACGTAGGCTTTCGCGACCAATATCATCCATAATTGAGTTGTTGTTTTTTTTTGGGGGGGGGGTTAGATCGCGTAAATTTGTGTCGTTAAACCCGCCACCACCCGACACAGCCAACGAGTAAGGGTTGTCACGTTAATCTGGCTGTCGCCTGATGAAGCTAGTTGTAATTACTGGCGAAACGTCGTACTCGGATTGTAAATGTTGTGGCTTGGCTCTCCAACACACCGGTGTGCTGTACTAGTGACGAATTGGCATATTCTTTTTACGTGACAACCCTTACTGCTTGGCTGTGTCGGGTGGTGGCGGGTTTTCACGACACATTTTTTTTTTATTTATGCCATCTAACCCAACAAAAAAACCCCCATCTATTATGGATACAAAAAAAGATACATATTACCACAACAACAACAACAAAACCCCGCTCATTACATTTCTGAGCCATCAATCCTCGCTCGCGCGCACACACGCACGCACGCACACATCAAGCGTGCGCGCTTTTAATTAAAGGGTTAGGAACCGATGCGTGACGAACGTAATCGGCCGATAAAAATGTCGAAGCGCTCGCGAAGAGGCAGCGCCATCTGCCGCGATGTCAGCAAAACAAAACAGCGGCACGGAAGCAGCCGTCACTCAACAAGGGCTGCCGCGGTTCTTCACGATATCACGATACGATGTTCAATTCCACGATTATCGCGATATCAATTCATTTTCTTTCTGTCCCTTTGGCTCTTTCGGTAAAGTCACGTAGATAGGTTCAAAGAAAATAGCAACAAACAAAAAAACTACGACGTTTCGATCGCAGCACAAGCGGTCGTCTTCAGTTTTTTTTGTTATTTTCTTTGAACCTATCTACGTGACATTATCGAAAGACCCAAAGAATATTAATTTCTGCAGTCACGAAAGCTTTAAGTCAAGATTGTATTTTCTTACTGTTTCGCATTTGCGTTGCTTTGCTTATTACGCTTCTAGTACGAATGCAGATAACTAATATGTGAGTTCTTCAACCGCAGTTAACTCGACATATGCATGGCTTTTAGTCTTATTTTTATGCTATCTTTACAATCCGCAATGCTTACACTGAACCATTTATAGTAAAAAAAATAAAAACTCAAAACACTCGCGAACAGCACTGCCGCAAACATTTGATGTAAATCGTCGGTGACGTTTCGGGCAATGGCCCCTCTTCACGGGGATAAATGTAGCGGCCACGAGTGGCTGCGTGGGTCACGTGAACCCAGTTACAACGCACAAACCTAAAACGTTCATATTTGCCACGCCCGCGATTCTTTGCACGCATTGCGAGTTTCGCCATCAATGCCAATCGACTACCCGATGCACCGTTACACCGAGGGATTAATGTCGGCCGCTGGAGCCGCTGGGGCCTCAGCTCCGGAAAGCATGGCCCTGCTGTCGGGCGGTGGGTTGGGTCCAGAGCGATGGGGCTTGGGTCGCCCCCGAGAAAATATGCCACCAGAAATGGAAACGAATCCCTGATTATTGTCTTCTGCAGAAATGTAACTCGGGGCCATGGTGACGAGATGTTAACTACCTCGCCTGGTATACAGGAGGTCGTGGGTCCGATCCCGACCCCAACGCCTGTTGTATATTTGAAGTTTGCGTCTTCTCCTCGTGGTCGCGTGGATTTTTCTCCGGGTCCTCCGGTGTTTCTCTCCACATTTAGAAAACATGCGTTTAGATTATTTGTCCGCTATACGTACATTTTCACATAAGCCACTTCGTTGAGCTACCATTTGTGGGCAGATCGCTTCTGATAATGAGTTATATAGATAAGTGGGCCTTACCTGGCAGAATAAAAAATAGTCTTTAGCTAGACACATCTAACTTTCGATAAACAGTGGTCTAATAAACAGTGGTTCACCGTCCTAGCAAATGGATTGTCGTAATTCTATTATTGCTATTCAATTATTTTGCGTGTCATTTTCACAGTTTCGTTTGTATTGCTTATCCGTGTTTTGTTTGTACTGTGTAACAGCATATGCATTCCATACAGGTCTTAATACGTTTATGTTTACGCCTTTATTTCTCCAATCCAGTATTTGGGGAATACGGTAACATCAGCTCGTAAGCAGGATCGGGGGATCATTGCAGCATCACTTGATGGTGAGGGGTGGTGACGTTGCGGAGGGAGGGCCTTCATCCAGCAGTGGATAAACCATGCGTCGCGATGACCATTTCCATGAATCGTAAATAATCCATTATTGCATGCATTGTTTATTGTGAACAAAATTATATTAATTCGGTAATTAATTCAAATGCATTGGTACTTACTGAAAAACTATAGATGTTACCATTCTCCCCTCCAACAATTGTTACTATTTATGGATTGTGATTCAGTTTCAGAATAATTTTATTTTTGCCTTATTTTTACTGCCACATTTGTATTTATATATTTTTTCCTCGTTTAACTGAAATGAAATTCCATATTTTTTTGCATATAATTGGCATTCTTTGTAAGCACGGTAAGCGATTTGCATGATTCAATGCAAGTCATGAGCAGGGGCGGAGCCACAGGGGGGGGGGGGCTGGGGGGGGATCTGCCCCCCCTGAAATTTTGGGAAAGTCGGTAATCGGGATAACCGGATATCCGGCTGCTGCAAAATGCTGCAGGCTGCCACCTTTTGCTGCCCTGCAGGTTGCTTG